AGTCTACCAAGTTGATCACAGTCCTCGGGGGAGGACTTGTCCTGGAGGAGGTGGGAATGGAGGGTGGGCTGGGGGTAAGGGGAGGGCGTGGGAGGGGGGAGAATTGGGGAACCCATGGCTGATATGTAGAACTGAATGGTATTGTAAAATAAAAAATATATATCACAAAAAAAAATAATAATAATAAAAAAAAAATTATAAATGCTCGGCCAGTAGCTCAGGCTTATTACTAACTAGCTCTTACATTTTAAGTTAACCCATATTTCTATTTATGATGGTACCTTTATTTGCATGGCATGTTCATCTCCTGCTCCCTCTGCATCTGGCTGGTGACTCTCTGACTCTTCCCTTCTCCTTCCCATCATCCTTAGTTTGGTCACCCACCTATACTTCCTGCCTGGCTACTGGCCAATCACCATTTTATTAAATCAATTCCAGTGACAAATCTTTACAGTGTACAAGAAGATTATTCCACGACAGCTGGCTGTGTGGCTGGCCCCTGGCAACCTCCTCTCCTTTTCCTGTTCCTTGATCTTCTCTTCCCAGAGTTCTCTTCCTTTTTAGTCTCTCTGCCTGCCAGCCCTGCCTATTCTTTCTCCTACCTCACTATTGGCTGTTCAGCTCTTTATTAGACCAACCGGGTGTTTTAGACAGGCACAATAACACAGCTTCACAGAGTTAAACAAATGCAACATAAAAGAGTGCAACACATCTTTGCATCACTAAAGCAAATGTTCCACGGCATAAACAAAGGTAACCCATCTTAAAATAATATTCCACAACACAGCTGAGTGTTTTAAAGTTCTGACTGGTCTTTGTAGAGGACCACCTGTAACTCCAGTGGATCCGGTGCCGCCTTCTGGCCTCCAAGGGCACCTGGCACACCCATGGTGCAGAGACATACATACAGGCAAAACCTTCATACACATAAAACAAAAAAATAAATACATCTTTTTTAAAAAAGCTTAAAGGAAAAAAAGGGGGGAAGCTTAAAGGAAAAGACTGTTTGCTGTCACTAATTCTTTCCTTTTATTGCCCCCAAATTTCAGCTTTATGTGGTGGTCTCACCTTGTTGTGGGGTCCTTTAGAGAGCAACGGACTCCAGAGCCCCCGATGTGTGACGCAATAGAAGGTGGGGAGGGAAGGGGAGTAGAAACTTCAAGCAGCAGCAGAACGTGGGCCACAGAAGATGCACAAACATCCCTAACCATCCCCAAAGCCCCCGGTGGGACAGTGAGCCTCTTCACTCCATGTGTGTCAGGGATTCGTCTTTTTCTGTCCCACTTAATTACCACGTGATCCACTGTCACCTGAGGTACGGAAGGCACCCTAACAACCCAGATGTGGGCCACCCCTGGGACAAGTGAGCTGCTCGTGTGGGTGTGGTTCAGAGATGCAGGAGCAGTTGGGAGGGCTGTTAGACAAGACAGAAGTCACGCTTTGTGCTTCCCTGGCACTGGGGATCGAATACAGGGTATCGTAGCCGTTAGGCAAGCACTTCGCCCCACGCTACAGCCCCAAGTCCCCCAGCTGTCCTGAAACCTGTTGCCATCCCCTTCTGCCCAGTGGGTTTTTTGAGTGGCGGGACTTCTGCCCACAGGGAAGGTGGACCACAGCACAATCCAGGCTCGCTGAGCGGTCAAGGACAGTAGGAAGCTCAGAGTCCTCCGGAGGCCGGAGGCTGGCTTGCAGGTTGTGAAGCCAAGAAGACTCCAGAAGCCACAGGCTAGGCGCTGCCCTGTCACGGACTGCTGTGTTCTGTGGCTGCAGCAGACCTCTGTCACTACTGTACCGAGGGGCCAGAAGTCTTCATACCACACGCTCTAATGAAGAGCCCCCATGTGCCTCATCGTCAACATTAAGACAGTCGAGTCTCGTCCCTGTGATCTTCCCTAAGGAAGATTCGGGGGGGGGGGGGGCATGTTCTGGCTTCCACCATGACGGGGTGGGACTGTCCACTATGTGGGGAATCCCCCAGCACAAGAATGTCGTGCCAAACAAGACAGATGCAGGCATGGGGTGCAGCTCATTCCTGCCTCACAAAGAACAAGCTGGGAACGCGGGCCCACAGAAGCCAGGCTGCCCATCGACTCCTAGTTCAACTAGAGCCGCAGCCTGTCCTGAGACCACACTTCCCGGTGTATTCTGCTGGTCCTTTGCCTCCAACCCTGTCCACTCCTCACCCCAGAAGCCAGGCCCTGGGCCTGCTGCCCCTACCCTCCGGAGCTCAGAAAGCCTCTCTCAAGGTTTGGCTAAGGTACGAAGACTAAGGACAATGTTGGGGCTGCTCCACAGCCCCAGGAAGGATTTATTCCATGCTACAGAGAGTGGGAGGTCTGGGATATGTCTGTGAGACCTCTGGTAGAGCTTGTTTCTGAGAAAAGAGCTGGAGTCCTGCACCCAGAACCAACCACGGGAGCAGCTGTGGCCTGACAAGGTAAAGGCCATGCCCAGTGACAACCGAGGCTGGCTTTCCAGGCCAGGCTGTGCATAACGCTTAGGAGATAAAGGCTGCTTCTCCATGCCTACCTGTCCCCTGGCATCACCAGTCTCCTCTGATGAGGGAGACCTGTGAAGAAAGGAGTTGGGGGAGGCTACCTTCCGGGAAGCAGACCGGGTCAGTGACTTTCTGGAACGTTCCGGAAAACAAGATGAGGTGGAAGTCGCCTCATGGCCTGTTTCAAGCCTATGAAATAAAGTGCCTTGTGTTCTCAGTGCTGAGACAGGCCCTGGGGTAAAGCAGGAGTGGAGAAAACCATTACCTTACCTGCCTTCTGTCTGCCTCAACTTCCCCTGCTTGTCCTGTTTAGGATTAGTTGTCCTGTTTAGGATTAGCCTCTCCCCCATTCACCACCTCCAGGGGGCCAAGGTGGGCCGGCTCTGAGCTGAGGAGACACCTCTCCCCTGCATCCCGTGGATCCAGTGCCCCGGGGCCAGACTGTGGAGGCCTCAGGGCCTGGCATGGATCACAGGAGGCAGGCAGGCGGGCAGGCGGGCGGGCGGGGGCGAGGGGATGAACTCATCCTTTCCTGCTCTCAGCCGGCTCTGATCGTAAAACCCCAGACGCTGAGCAAATGGCCTCAGGTGTGTGCTCGCCAGTTTCGCTGGGATGCTAGTCAGGACGGCGAGCGGCTGACCTGGTTTCGGTGGAGCGGCCCTCCTCTCGTCCGTCCGGCCTGCCTGACTGTGGCCTCTCTCCTCGCCTCCCTTCCCTTCTCCTCTCTGGAAAGGCCAGTTCTTTATCAAAGCTCACAAGAGCCAAAGAGTTGCTCAGAAGTGTCTAGAACAAATCCCTTCTCCAGAGAGAGAGAGAGAGAGAGGAGAGGAGAGAGAGAGAGAGAGAGAGAAGCAGAAATCTCCTCAAAAAAAAAAAAAAAAAAAAAACCAGAAACAAAAACAACATGGTGCCCCAGGATCCAAATCTTAGTCCTATCCCAGCCTTACCATGTCGTTTCTACCTCACTACCAAGCCCTGGGGGCCCAGAAGCCTCCCCCACGGTCCAACTGGGGCCGGGGGGTGGGGGCAAAGCCAGGGACAGCCATGACTAAGCAGCTAGTGGAGACTATAGGGGTAGCCCCGAGACCCCCTACCCTGTACCAAAGAGAAGGGCCAGCCCTCTACATCCTCGAGGGGCCCCTTGGGACTTTAGCACCTCAAAGATCTAGAATTCTCGCCCGTGTATCACAAGGGAAAACTGAGACCATGAGAGGAGAGGAGCAGATACACTGTCAGAGACCTCACTCTGGTTTCTGAACTCCTGGCCTCATTCTCGTCCCTCTGTGTCTTTTGGAACAGCGTGGAAAGGACCAAAATCAGAGGCAGAGTGCTGGGGGGTGAGCTGTGGGGGGAGTGGTAGCTGTGGGGGGCTG